TAAAATCATTCCCCACAGGTTGGGTTTAATGATAAAACTTTCGCAAGTGGGTCTAGTTCCAAGGCCTTGGAAGACTCCTTCCTATCATATTTTTCAACCGATATGCCCCTGTTCCTACTATGGAATCTATTTGATAGGGGCCGTCCTAGTTTGGACCAAGTTTTCCATCAGCCGACTTCCTATCAGCTGGAAACACCTTCTTCAGGACCAATTCTCCTAGTGTGTAGTGGCGCAGTTGAACTCGTTGATTGTATGATTTCGCTAACTGTTGCTGGTACCGTGCCATGGATGCAAGGGCACGGTCTCTTCGTTCCTCGATTAGAATCAAATCCAAAGCCAGTATCATGTCGTTTCGGCCTGTATCAAAAACTTGCGACTTAAGGGTCGGGAGGCCGATCTCCAGGGGTAAGATCGCCTGGTTGCCAATGCATAGGGTAAATGGAGTTTCTCCAGTTGATCTCCTCGGCGTTGTTCGATGAGCCCACAATACACTCGGCAATCCTTCGACCCATTTGCCTTTGGCTTTCTCCAACCTTTTCTTGATGCCGTTTAGGATGGATTTGTTCGAAGCTTCAACCTGACCATTGCTTTGGGGATAAGTCGGCGAAGAAAAATACGGCCGAATACCATATTTGTCGCACAGTTCTCGGCAAACACCACAATCAAATTGAGTGCCGTTGTCTGAAATAAGGGCTCTTGGAATGCCGAATGCCGAATCGTGTTATAATGTTCCTCCACACAAAGCGTTTAACATCAACGTCTCAAATGTGTGTTAATGCCTCCGCTTTGACCCATTTTGTGAATTAATCTGTTGTGACGATCAAGTATCGCTTATTCCCTGAGGCCCTCGGCGATGGTCCTATGATATCGAGCCCTCACTAGGCGAATGGCCAGGGACTGGTAATAGAGTTCAACTCTTCTGCGGGCAAATGGGTTAGTGGGAAAAACTTCTCGCACTGTTTACACTTTTTCGCATAACACTTGGCGTCCGCTCTCATTGTCAGCCAATAATACCCCTGCGTTATAGCTCGATGGGCCAAAGAACGCCCGCCAGAATGGGCACCACAACTGCCCTCATGTATCTCAGTTAGAAGGTCCTCGACTTTGTCTGGGTGTACGCATTCCAAATATGGACCAGAGAGGGATTTTTTATAGAGCCCTCATTGCGGATCTAAGTAGTATATCATGGCTTTGTTTCACAACTTGTGCGCTTCTTTCTTCTTCTCTGGGAGTTGGTCAGAAGACAAGAAAGCAGCAATGGGATCCATCCAGCTTGGGGCAGATTCTATAACTAGGAATGGCAACGGGGCGAGGCGGGGTCGGGGATCACCCTCCCCGTCCCCGATTGTGAAAATCTCCCCGGCCCTGACCCCGATCCCCGATGGGGAACCCATCACCACCACTGCCCCCATCCCCTAACGGGGATCGGATTTCCCCGACCCCGAAATATCCCCGACAGTTCTCAACACACACACACACACACACAAGAACTGTTCAGATCAATAACTATCACCAACAACAGCAACAGATACATATATATATAACAACTTTAAAAAAAAAATTGTTCATTAACACAAACAGAGAGAGAGACGGCTTCTGCAGCTTCAGCTTCAAAAAAATTTGTTCATCAACAAGAGAGAGAGATCGGTAGCTTCAGATCGAACCACGATCCTGGTCCTGTGTACGGATGAAAGATGGTGAAGAAGAAATGATCGAACCACGATCTAAGTGAAAAAAAGCTTTAGATCGAACCACGATCCCGTGAGTGAGGGAGAGAGAGACGAAAGACATGGTCAAACAGAGAGGGAGAAATGATCGATGGTGATGTGATCCGTGGAGGAGGAGGAGGAGAGAGGAGGGGAGTGGTGGGAGTATTGGTGGAAGAGGAGGTGGCGGTGAGAGATGGTGAAAAAAAGAGAAAGACCAGAGACGGTGGAGAGGAAAAGAGATGTGATGAATGGAGAGAGAGAGAGAGAGATAGTAGATCTACATGAATGAGAAAGAGAGAGAGTAGATGTAAATGAATAAAGGCTTCTGCAGCTTCAGCTTCAAAAAAATTTGTTCATCAACGAGAGAGAGAGATCGGTAGCTTCAGATCGAACCACGATCCTGGTCCTGTGTACGGATGAAAGATGGTGAAGAAGAAATGATCGAACCACGATCTAAGTGAAAAAAAGCTTTAGATCGAACCACGATCCCATGAGTGAGGGAGAGAGAGAGACGAAAGACATGGTCAAACAGAGAGGGAGAAATGATCGATGGTGATGTGATCCGTGGAGGAGAAGGAGGAGGAGAGAGGAGGGGAGTGGTGGGAGTATTGGTGGAAGAGGAGGTGGCGGTGAGAGATGGTGAAAAAAAGAGAGAGACCAGAGACGGTGGAGAGGAAAAGAGATGTGATGAATGGAGAGAGAGAGAGAGAGATAGTAGATCTACATGAATGAGAAAGAGAGAGAGTAGATGTAAATGAATAAAAGGTAGAGATGAGAATAAAAAAAGTATAAATATAATATATATATCATTCGGGGGACAAATGGGGCAGGGCTCGGGGCCGGGGCGGGCCGAGACTGCAACATGTATCCCCGTCCTTGGCTCGAATATCATCGAGGATTTTTTTTTATCACCATTCCCGGCCCGTCGGGGGTATTTTTCAGGGAATAACCGTTATATTCGGGATCGGGGGGTCAGGTCCCCATCGGGCCGGTTTCAAATTGCCATCCCTATCTATAACGTTAATCTGGACTTCCTCTGAAGGGCCAATGCTTGGCTTCGGGAAACCTACTTCGATAGTCCGTTTAATCTCTGAGTTGATGGCGGAGGCAAGGCAAGCCAAGGCATCTGCATGGGTGTTCTGATCATGTGTTATCTAGTTTAACTCATGATGGTCGAATTTTGCCAACAAGGAATTGGCCGTTTTCATGTAAGCCGCCATGCGGTCGTTCCTTGCCGCGTACTCCCCCTTTAGCTGGTTGATCACCAGCTTTGAATCACAAAACACAAGCAAACGCCGAGCGCCAAGAACGTGCGTGTTCTGTAAACTGGCTAGGAGGGCTTCGTATTCGGCTTTGTTATTTGATGCTTCGAAGCCAAGCTTGACGGCCTGCTCAATTATTACGCCGTCAGCAGACATGATGACAACTCTGGCTCCACTGCCCCGCTGATTGGACGACCCATCGCAATACAACTGCCAAATATCCCCAATATAAATCCTCCAGTTCGGTTTCGGTTGAATTTCATCAGGCTTGATGTCGGTCAGGACACCAGTGAATTCGGCGACAAAGTCGGCAAGCACCTGCCCTTTGATTGAGGTTCTGGGTAGAAATTGAATATCGTATTGGCCGAGTTCCAGAGCCCACTTTGAAACACGTTCGGAAGCTTCTGTACTGCGTAGTACAGACCGGAGGGGATAGTTTGTTAGCACCCCAATGCTATGACCCTGGAAGTAATGTATCAATTTCCTCGTCGCCATGACTAGGGCTAAGATGAGCTTTTCCAGCGGAAGGTAGTGTGTTTTGGCATCAACCATTGCCTTGCTCACATAATACACCGGTCGTTGCTCTCCCAGCTCTTCCTTTATCAGCACGGCGCTGACGGCCCGGTCGGAAACTGCCAGGTACATAATGAGCGGGTCACCAAGAGAGGACGTTGCCAAGAGTGGTATTGAGCGGAGGTATGTCTTAAGGCCGTTGAAAGCGGCTTCGCATTCGGAGGACCATTCAAAAGCCTTGCCCTGCCGTAGTGTATGAAAGAATTGTCGGCAGCGATCTGTGGAACGACTGATGAACCTGTTGAGCGCGACGACCATCCCCATTAACTTTTGCACCTTTTTTATTGATCGAGGGGAGCTGAGCTCCAGGATTGCTGTGATCTGCCTTGGGTTAGCTTCGATTCCTCGATGATTGACGATATATCCCAAGAATTTGCCAGAAATGATTCCAAAGGCACATTTGGAAGCGTTCAGCTTCATTCCATATTTGCGTAGGATGCCGAATGTTTCTTCAAGATCGGCTATATGATTCTGCTTTACCTTTGACTTGACCACCATATTGTCAACGTACGCTTCCATTGTGCGACCGAGTTGCTTTTTGAAAATGGTGGTGACTAGTCTCTGGTAGGTTGCCCCAGCGTTCTTCAGCCCAATAGGCATAATCTTATAGCAGTAGGTTCCTTTTGGGGTAAGGAATGCAGTTTTCTCCTGGTCCTTCGGATACATGACAACTTGATGGTAGCCTCTGTAAGCATCGAGGAAACTCATGCGCTGATGGCGTACTGTAGCATTTACCAGTTGGTCTATCCTTGGGAGAGGAAAACAATCTTTGGGGCAGGCTTTGTTTAGGTCCGTGAAATCAACGTAGACTCGCTATGTACCGTTCTTCTTCTTCACAACTACAGTATTAGAGAGCCATGTGGGGTAGGTAACTTCCCTGATTGCCCCTTGCATCAAGCAGCCGGTCAACCTCTTCAATCACGGCGGTAGTGTGCTCTGCGGCAGATCGCCGGCTTTTCTGAACGATCGGCTTGCACTTAGGGTCAACATTCAAACGATGCTCGAAAACAGTTGGGTCGACGCCCGGCATTTCATATGGAGTCCATGCAAATACATCAAGATTATCGAGCAGGGAGGATACTAGCTGCTGTCTGTCGGTTTGATTCAGGGAGGCGCCGACTATGAAGAATCTCTCTAGATTGCCGTCAATCTCAATTCGATTTAAGTCTTCAGTGGCCTTCTCATTCGGGAGCCACCCGATATCGTCGAGGCTTTCACGATCCGGCACCTCGATGGAATTAACTTACAAATCCTTTGGTGTCTTTCTGGAGATGAGATAGCATACTTGTGCCGATTGTTGGGAACCACGGATCTGCTCGATGCCGTATTCTGTCGGGAAGCGCAGAAGCTAATGATAGGTGCTCGGGACAGACCACATAGTATGCAACCAAGTTCGCCCCATGATGAGATTGTACGGCGAAGGTAGCCTGACGACCAAGAATTCCACATCCACTGTTCAGGAGCCTGCTCGGACGGGTAGTATGATTTTTCCCAATGGATATTCTGGATTTGCGTTGAAGCTGAATAATGGATAAGGAGCCGGAGACAAGTTTGATTCATTTAAGCCAAGTTTGATGAAGGTCTTGTAATACATAACCTCAGAAGTACTTCCCTGGTCTATAAGAACGCGCTCGATAGTAAATCGATTGACACATAGTTCAATGACCAGTGGATCAATGTGGGGGACTGTTATGCCAATACGATCAGAATTGTCGAAGGTGATACTCGGAGCTTCATGCGGCCTTTTCACCGGTGTGAGTTGCTTCTGGGATGCAGGGTGTGTTTGAATTGTGTGCACGGCTGAGGGCGTTGGCAAACTGTATATCATATGGATGACTGCAAGCGGAGGTGATTCCCGTCGAAGTACAATTGGTCTGGTTGCACACGTTTGGGCATGGTGCTGGGGCTGAACATCTCGGACCAACTCCTGAAGGTCTTTCATGGCACAGCTACTGTCACGATCATGATCTTCGCGATATTTACACCGCCTATCCCTTCTTGTCGAGTCGGGAGGTGCCACCGCTTCTGATGGCCTGGTGTAGAATGAGGGGGCCCACTTTATATGCAGACTTTCTCCGGAGGAACTGGAAACTTCAGATCGTCCATTCTTCTTGGGATTTGGGGATAATAAGTCAGAGCTGCTATCGGTGTCTTGAAGCCGGGCTCGAGGTCGTCGATCACCTACTTTCAAAGGTCGCTCGAGATTTTGGGGCACGGCTTGTTTGGATTTTGCTACCTCCAAAGCCAAATCCTAACGGAGGCGCTCGTTCTCATTGATCAAGTTTTCCAACCTCTGCTCATTTTGCTTTGCCTGCTCTATGATCGCTTGCATTGCCTCATGTTCTGGAGTCGAAAGTGAGACGAGGTTCAAAACGCGTCTTGCTGGGAGAAGCTCCAGTCCGTGTGTGTTTGTTGGAGTGAAAACGTCTACTTGCATGTTTTTATCAGTGACTATTAGAGGATCCTCCGTCACGTCCGCTATGGATATGCTTGAGTATTTCCATAGACGGCGCCAGTTGTGGGGAAGTGATTTTTGGAAATACTCTTCTGATCTTGGGGGACGCTCGTGATCCACCGATAGGCACCTGAAAGGAAATAAATACTCCGGTCGGGGGTGCCGGAATTAGCACTCCGATGGACAAGTTAGTCTCTCGTTCTAGATTACTTGTATTCTAAGTTAAACACCACAATTATCACATACCTCTTTCTGGCTGATGTCTTTTCTATTTATATCTTTTCTTCTTTGGGCCTCGGGATTAGTTCCAAATCCAACCTCCTATTCGGCATATTTTGTAATAAATCAATCTTCACTCGGCCCCTTGCTTAATCGACTATCTGGCCGAATAAGGTTGGGTCCGAGTTTCCGCGGCAATGGCCGAATGTTTCGAATCTTGATTCTTCAATATTCGACTCTCCGGAATCTCTAAGGTTGGGTCCGAGTCTATACTTCAATCTGATTACTACTTTTAGAACCATATGTGGTAGTGGACAGTGAATTGAGCCACCACTCCACCTCACTTTGTCCAGCTTTTCGGCCTCTTACGCTTGTCCTCATTTTCTTTGCTTTTTCTCACCCTTTCCTTCGGTTTCCGGGGAAGTACATAGATACACCCATTCCCCTCCACTATTCTTGCCATCCAAAATATCACCCCCACAAAATATAACTCTCACAAATTTCAAAATGATCTGAATCATTCATGTCACTATCAAACACAACTCTAAAAAAAATTCAAACACATCAATAATCAATACATTAGTGAAGGTCATGAGGGTCTTCTTTTGTGGGGGTCCCAAACATTTTCTTATCCTTTATTCACCCTCCACTGTGGATATTATTTTAAGTTAAAAGTGAATAATAAAAATATAATAATTAAAAGTATTTTTTTATTAGTATTTGAAAATTTATTATTTTTTAATTTATTTAAATTATTTGTGTGTAATAAGTTAAATCAAAAGTTATACTAAGCAATTTGACACAAATTTTTATATTACAATAAATTATACATTACTTATATAAACCCCACCAAAAACCTCTATAATATCAATTGTGTTAGGAATAAAGAAAAGAAAAGTTTGCTAGATGTTTTATAAAACATATGAAATTGTCTATTCCTTGAAAAACTAAATGAATAAATTCATGTAACGAGACACATATGTCATATGTAAGGCAGATGGTGTCATTAAGCAATTCTAAAATTGTCACATTAATAAGTGTAATGATTTCTTTTTTCTTAATTTAAAAGAATAATAAATTAATATATTTATTTTGTAGTTATTAAATTTGTCATAGAGATATTTCATTATAATTATAAGATTGAATAGATCATAATCCATAAAATAATGTTAGGGATACTAAATATTTTACTAAAATTTATATCAAATATCTTACATGGGCGTGTAACTTATATCACATTCATGTGAGTGTTTGGTAAAAAATTTAATATGTATTTGGGATTTCTGACATTTTTGTAATCCATAGCTCTTATATGTGAGCTCCACTGATATGGCCAAGAAGCTAAAAGGTTATTGTGTGAGTGATTTTCCGATCACACTGCTCAACTCAATATTCAGCTGGAAAGAACTAAGAATAGATGACGCCTAGCTGACCTGCAACAGAAAGAGAAGATTTCGGCGATGGTTCGTCCACCCGGGGGCACTCCGACGATCAAATCAGTATATCTCTCAAAGATAATCAATAGTGCAAGACTCACTGTACTGAATATAAATTGCATACCTTAGACCCATGGGGATGCCTCTCTTTTATAGTTAACTCAATCCTTGTCCAAGTAGAAGCCTAGCTTCAATGGACTTTTGCTCAGTGCTTAGGCTGGACTCTCTAATAGATATAAATAAACTCCCTAAGAGTGTTATCCTTATCCATGCTGAAGTCCTACATCATTCTAGGACTCTTGTCCCTTATCCGCTTATCTCGGATTTCGATATCTTCGGAGATAACCTTGACCTTGCCGAGATCACATCGGCGTTATGACCTGGACACGTGGCACCTCGGCTGACACGTCGGCGTCACCTTGGCCACGTGTTGGGACTTAGAAAATATATCCCCACAGTTATTGTCAAAAAGTCAACTTTTCTCTCTATTTTTCTATTATTTTTTCATAAAAAATAAAAAAATTAATTTTCAAAATAACTCTTAATTTCACATCTATATACTATTATACGAAATTTCTTTGTGCACTTAGGTTCCCTCTATGTATAATTTGAATCGGGTCTAATCTAAACAATTTGAATTTAGCTTGTAAGATTATATTCATGGTTAAAATTTCAAATTTAGTTGAGTCTATGTACCAAAAGTTAAAGAGATTAGATAGGAGGTTTAATTATTGGCTGTTGATATATATAATTATATATAATAAATATAAAATATACATATAAAATAAAAATGAAATGTAACTATAAAACAATGATAATATATATTTTTCTTAATTTATTGAAATGTAACTATATAAGTGACTATTTTTAACTATTTTTTTCATAATTTTTTTTTATATATAATTTGAAAATACAAAACATTCATTCGGCACAACAAAATGCTCAATTGGTATATATATATATATATATATAGAGGGTGAATTACACTAATAGTCCCTACAGTTTAGGACTTGTGTCAATTTGGTCCCTAACTTTTCAATTGTGACACATTTGATCCTGAATTTCGAATTTTATTCCAAATAAGGACAATTGAAGATATCATTAGATTTTTCAAGGGTAAAATCGTCAATGTGATAAAATATAAACTAATTTGATAAAAATAAATGTCAAACAAATATTTTTAAATTTTAAAAAATTATTTTTACCCACTAAAAATAAAATTATGTAAAATTGATAAATCTTTTAGATATTTATTTATTTTTACCAAATTAATTTTTATTATGTGTTCAGATTATGATCATGTAAAATTAATTTAAAAAAATTAATCTTGTAATTTTTATTAATTTTTATCAATTTTACATAATTTTATCATTGGTGGATAAAAATAAATTTTAAAAAATTAAAATATTTTTTTGACATTTATTTTTGTCAAATTAGTTTAGATTTTATTAAATTGACGATTTTGCCCTTGAAATTAAATAATGGTATCTTCAATTGTCCCTGTTTGGAACAAGATTCAAAATTCAGGGTCAAATGTGTCACAATTGAAAAGTCAAGGACCAAAGTGACACGAGTCCCAAACTATAGGGACTGTTTGTGTAATTTACCCACATATATATATTTTATATATTGAATATGAACAATTTAAGTTTTAACATGAAGATAAATATGGACTCAAATTTGAACAAATCACCTCGAACTCAAACCAAACTTAAACAAATTTCTTTATCTAAAGAGAATAACATTACTATGGCTTTGTTTGGGAAGTCTTGGCTGAGGCTTTTTTGGCTATTTTAATCAAAAAAAAAATAAAATAGGCTATTTTAGCCACAAAAAATAAAACACAACATCCAACTCATAATCATTACACTCTTCTTTTACAAAAAAAGTCAAAAAGTCAAAAAATTCTTCCCAAACTAAGCTTTTTAGCCCAAGCTAAAATAGCTAAAAATATCAAAAAGCCAAAAAGCCAACCCACTTTCCAAACCAACTCTATTTTTATTGGACCAGTCCATATAAAACATTTATTTTGATTTTAAATGAAACTCACACAAGTATACGGTGATATTAAGGCCTAGTTTGGAAAGACTAAATAAGTGCACATTTTGACTTTTTTTGTATTATGTGTAGAAAAAATAGAGAGGAGATGTTGATTGATGTGACCCAAAAAAGATAAAAAGATGAAATAAGTGTACTTTTTTCTTTGTAGCCAAACTTGACCTAATTCTCCAAAATTATACATAAACTAAACTGAACATCCGATTATATTAATATATATATACAGCACTACCTTTGACCGTTTTAGTTTATCTCACTCATGCAATGGGTGTTCATGGAGCAATTTGTATGAAACAAAACCGGTCTTCATGGTTAAAAAATTTTAAGGATAAAAATCAAATTACGAAATTCTTAAAACTGAACTAGAATCAAATTCTAAAAAATGTGATTGATTACGGTTCTGCTTTCTAAAGTTCCGTTTGGGAAGTTGGTTTAGAGATTTTTTTGACTAAAATAGTCACAAAAAATAAAATAGACTTTTTAACTTAATAAGACAAAATATCACATCTAACCCATAATCATTACATTCTTTCTTTCACAAAAAAGTCAAAAAATCCAAAAAAGTCAAAAGCCTTTCTTAAACTAGGTTTTTTAGCCTGAAACTAAAAAAAGCCAAACAAGCCAAAAAGCCACCATACTTCCCAAACAGAGCTCAAGTTAGAAACTTCGTGCCTGTGTTTGGCAAGGGCTTTTTCAGGCTTTTTTTGGCTATTTTAGCCACAAAAAACAAAATAGGCTATTTTAGCCATAACAAACAAAACATCACATCCAACCCATAATCATTACATTCTTCTCTCACAAAAAAACTCAAAAAAGCCAAAAAGCCAAAAAGCCCTTCCCAAACCAGGCTAAAATAGCCCAGGCTAAAATAGCCAAAAAGCCAAAAAGCCAACCCACTTCCCAAACGGAGTATTAGAACATCAAATTCAATAACAATTGATTCTTTGTATAAAAGCATTCCAAATAAATTAACAAACATATTTCAATTTTTAGAATGTTCTCCAAGCATAATTTTTATAAAATGTTAACGATGTAGCAATTTTTCATATTTCATATTTCATATTAATTACTACTATAATTTTCAATAATAATCATCTTATTTGGTTTTGATTAATTTTTAAAAATTAAATTTTTTACTTTTTGTGTTTTTTTTAGTGAATTTTTTAATATTTTAAATAATTTCTAAATGAACATAACTTAAATGCATTTAAAATATAAAATATTTGTAAAAGAAATATTTAAAAAGTTAGGCAAACTTCACTTTACTCT